GTGAAGGCCTTGGAGAGCAGGATTTTGTCTATACTGATGCATTTTGATTATCCATTGGATGCCCACGATGCTGTCAGCATTGGGCGATGGTTGTGGTGGTTGATTTTCAAGTGTAGGGTTGGGTTTGTGGAGAAGGTGAACAATGGTAGCTCTTTCATTTTATTTTCTTTTTCTTCTTCTCATTGAATCTTTTAAATTATTTTATGTTAAAATTTTATAGTTATCATTTTCCATTTTGTTGATTTGGTCAAAATCACTTTTTTGGAACCAACTAACGATCAAAGTAATGGTTTCCATCCATTTGGACTCTAAGTACGAATTTGTAAAAAGTTTGGTGTTTTGGTTGGCATAAATAAAAGGTTCAAGTCAAATTTGGGATAAAATGAAAGATTTGATACTATGGCTGCAATTCTCGCTTTTAGCAATGATAAAATATGTCATAGATGCTACCCTATTACTCTACTTAGGGCTGGGAAAACCTAACCCAAATCGCTCAATCCAAACCAAATCTTTCATTTTTCTACTTAAGTAGAAAAATTAAATTTGAGGTTGGGTTGAATCTTGGATTATGTAATGAGAAAAGTACACAAAACCAGAATATTTAAGTTTCAATTTCAAAAACCAGATTTAAACTTTGTTTTTACAATAATCAGATGATAATTCTATATTTTAATTTAATAATAATAATATAAAATTAAAATTAATCTATACCAATTTTTTCAAACCCTAAATTTACTTCTCATTTTCTCTCTAAGTTTCCTCGTTCTCTCACCACTCCATCTTCTTTCTACTATGCCATTATCGGAGCACCGTCGATGCTAGGCTCCCGACGCCTCTAGCCAATCATCATAGTCGATCTGTAGTCACGGAAGGGGAAGAAGGACTGTGGCTATTTGCACCTCGCCTCTGTTCGCATGAGGCGGCGTTGCCGCTGTTCAAGGCGCACGACGTACCTCATCAGTTTTGTAGCTCAGAGCACCACTTTGTGCGGTGGCCTCATCGACGTTTGTGGCTCAAAGCGTCGCTGTGTGTGGCGGTGGAGATTGATTATTTGGTTTATGGCGTTTCTTTTTCTGATGAGTTTATGGTGGTTTTGTGGTGATGCTGTGATTGATGGTTTTGAGTTTGGTGTGTGGTAGATCGACGGTGGTGATTACAGTGGTGGTGTGGATCGATGGTGGTGTGATTTACAGTGGTGGTGATTTTTTGATCAGTGGTGGTGTGGATTGGTGGTGGTGTGATTACAGCGGTGGTGATTTTGCGTTGATGTGGTGGTTACTGTTGAGGTGGTTTTGCACAATCTGGTGAGACGACAGTGGTTGTGGCGGGTGGTGGTCGAGGTAGATGGGATGGGATTGGGGTTGTTTTTGACCAATAAATTGGTTAATTTGTGTCTAATAAATAGTATGTGACCTAAAAAATGTAATTGTGACTCATAATTTTTTAAGTTGTGACCGTAAAATTAATTGTGATCAATTATTTTGATAATTTGTGACTGACAAATGAGTTGTGACCAATAAAAATTTTGATTTTGTGACCAATCAATGAATTGTGTCCTATGAAATTTTTTATTTGTGATTG